AGTTTACTAATGTTTTCCATTTGTACTTCTTGTTTCCTTTGTTGTTCCAGTTGCCACTGCTGTAATTTCTCTTCTCGTTCTTCTTGTTTATTTTCTTTCTCCTCCAACAACTGCTGTAATCTCTCTTCTTGTTTATTTTGCTGTTCGAGCTGCCACTGTTGCAGGTTTTCTTGCAGCTGCTGTTGTCTCTCTTCTCGTTTCTTTTGTTGCTCTTGTATTGCTGCCATCAAGTCTGCTAAACTGTAGTTTGATTTTCCGCCTCTCGTTTCCATTTTTTTTTGTTCCACTTCTGACACCAATTTGTTAGGTCTCCGTTTGTTAATTAACTTTCCGTAACTTCGTTTCAACGAAATTTTAGCGACACAAGTCCTTACTTAATAAAACTGGTTTATTCTTTCTGTATATAACTTTACCGATACACTTATTTTCAACAGTTGCTCTGTAACAAACGTTTTAACAACGAACGTTAACTTCAACAATACTTCTGACTGTAGTTCAATTACTCACTACCTTCACACACATTATTGTCCCGTCACGTTGTCACCCTCTTTTATATACCAGACTACCCTATATCTAGTAAATGCTAGATCATTCGCCAAGGTACAGGATAGTTCTAGAAACGTGGCGTGACACTAGTCATGTGACTTCGCTGACGCAACAGTATTATTTAATTGTCAGCTTGGGTCAAGTCTAAAGTAGAGAAGAATATACTTCTTTTAACATTATAATATTTATTCTGAATATGTGCAGGAGACTCACATAACATGTGACTGAGAAAGCAGTTAAGTTGATCTTGTTACTTCATTTATCAACGACTCAGAAGAGTTCTAGTTTTACATTATAATTAGTATCATGAGAGAATCTCTCTTATCTTGTGGTCCTATCCATTATCATTTTAATGTTAATTCAGTTTTACCAGAAAATACCACGAGTAACGAGTCTCTAACCGCTCCAATAATGGTCAAAATTTGTTTCGTGTACCAAGAGATTTATTAATGTATCCATTAGAATGTTGTAAAATCAGAAATACACACTTGTAGAAAATATATATAACATGATATATAGATATTTGAGCGACAAACAGAATATAGGGAAAGGGTTACATTTGTAAGCAGTACAGCAAAAACATTGATCCCAAAGTCAGGCAATAGATTCAAAAATTTTCTAAGTGCAAAAAAAATGCATTCAAAAAGTTCTACGTGTACTAAAGAAATAGAGAAACATTAACGAGGCTATAGGGGTCTTTTTCTTTTGAAGGTTCCTATTTACCAGACAAGTGGACTTCCCTCTGGTTTAGTGTGTCCTGGAATTCGATAGTATCAAAATATATAGGGTAATTGTCAAAAATAGCCTGGTACTTAAATGACACATTTCCAAGAGTTAAAAGTAAGCTAAAACTCGTATCCGAATTACAATATTTGTTTTGTTTACCTTGGAAATGGTTAAAACAAACAACAACAAAAAAATATACACACATTGTTCAATACCACTCTTTGGGATCAGCAGACTTCAGGCTCCAATATTATGCCCCCAAGTAAGTCTGCGGACTTATACTACTAGAAACCGGGTTTCGATACCCGTAGTGGGCACAACACGTGGCTCACCGTGTAGCTTTGTGCTTACCTAAAAACAAACAAGCAGCAATACTAATTTTGTTATACCATATATAGGGGGTATCCCGAGATTTAGAGGCCTTTTGGCCACTAGTCTATTAGTATAATATTAATAACCAAAATATCGCCTCTGTCAGAAATTTGTTTTTATCACGACAGTTCCTATTGTTAGGCGTTTTTCTTTTTAGTGGATAATTCAGTAAAATGAAGAAAGCAAAGTCCAGTCCACGAAAGCGTTTTATTTCTTCGACAACAAGCTCTACAACCTGTAAAAGTTTCACGTAACTCACGATAGGCCTAACTTCACAAATAAATTATGCCTGAATAGAAATTCAACTTACTCGATAATTTTCCATACGGATGGTACTTAGAGTATTTCGCCGATGACATCAACTCAATATGGTCAGCGCAAAGCTGACTGACTCAATAATCAATCATTTGAGGTCGAACTCTTGTTTTTACACATCACCCAAATCGTTTCTCAAACTTTCAAGAATGTTCTAGTCATTAATTTGCGCACTCATCACGTGATGCTAAAACCCCCTCTGATCAAAAATATTCAAAAGGTCTAAATTAAAAACGTAGCCTACAACGATATCACCACCTAAAATGAGTTACTATGACATTTTTTAAAAAAATATCCCTATAAGAGTTATAACATTCCCTGTTTTTTTTGGTATAAAATTTTTATGATGCTCATGGACCCCAAGAAGGGCCAAATCAGTGATCATTCTTGTAATAGGGCAACAATGTGGTTAAGTTACTTTTTGTGTACTTCTGACTGACATCTCTTGCACCAGTTAAAAACAGTCTAAACTTAAATAAAATAATAAACGAAAATCAACGTTTTTTATTTGTCACAATTATTTATTTAGTTAAATTAAAAAACTTAAAAACTCTACATGTTTCGGTGTAAATAATTCCACCATCTTCTCCTATATATATTTAATCTTTACAAATAAATGATTGTGCAAGTAAAGAACGTTGATTTTCGTTTTATTATTTTATTTAACATTTTTGCACAAGAACTGTCTGTTTTACGTATTCAGTCTAAATTAAAAATACAATCAAAACATATATGAAATTTTAATGTTATAAAACTGTTCCTCAAAGTTTTTCTCTTGAAGTTAAATAAGTGAAACCAATATCTAAAGTTAATAAATTATTATTTTCCGTGAAATAAAGAACTTCCGTACCAGAGTGTTGCAAGCGAGCACATTATGCAGATACGCGTCCTAGTGAGTAGTATGAAGCCAAATTAATTAAAAAAAACATACTTTTGTGTGACGCAATGTTTCTAATACTAAAACAACAACAAAAAACAAAACAGGGATACTAGTACAAAGCTAGGATTCTACTGTTATGATACATATTTAAGAGGTTCATAAGATATACTGTATTCTTTAATTAATAATGTTTAATTATAATCAGTCGGTGAATTTCACTCTACCCAAAGTATAACCTTTTCTGGAAAAATAAACAAGATCCGAAATAATATACATTTCAAATGACCGTGTTTTTATGGTTATTTTTACTCATGTTATATTAAACATTCAGTAACATGTATTCAAAAAAGTTGATGCCAAATTTATTTTCATCATTTTGTTGATGTTCTCACATTAATGCTCTTATACAGCAACTTTTAAATATAAAAAACTTTTCTGAGCATAGGTGGCTCTAACATTTTCTAAAGTACTTGATAAATTTACATGGTAGAAGCTTGAATATGTTTGCAATGCTCTGAAAGTAAAGAAAACTGAGGAGAATTAAGTTATAATTAAATTTGAATGAATACTATGCTTTGTTTCTCTCGGGTGTTGCGTGGTACCTATATTACGTAACTGCAGCACTGAAAACATAAGATATTTTACAAAGATACTGTGTCCTCGTAACTAGCATTATTTGTAATATATGACACATGAATAAAGGCAGTTAATAATTGTTTTCCTAACGTGATATGCTAAATAATCTTTAGTTCTTAGTTTGTTGGAAGATCTAATCTACATCTAACTGGCTGGATTCACTGTGCCTGCTTTCAAGCACTAAAAACTTCGACTGGTTTATAAACTGTTACACCATTTATATATGTTTCCTTTGTAATCAAGCAGGCCAAAGCAAGTTACAGAAGGTATGGGTTTATTGTTCACTGCCACCATTATGAAAACACAGAAACTAAATGAATTTGAACATCACAAAATGAATCTCTAACAAAGGAAAAGACTAACATTTACTAATAAAATCTAGATCAACTAAGTCAACTTCCATCTATCAGTTATCTTCAATACTCGATACATGTATAACTGCTGAAGTACAAAACATGACAATCATCAAATAATTAACGAAAATAAGCTATAGAGGAACCAGCTACATCGTTACATAATTATTTCACTTCCTTATTTGATTACTATGAAAATACCAAACACAGTACTCTGTCACAATGGTAAAAGATGGAGGCACTATATGAATGTACCATGAAAGAAGGAAGATTTCGTCAATGATACATTAAAGAGGATAAGATAAAAACCAAGTCCATATAAACTAATGAAAGTCTTCCTACATGTCATCTATAATCACAAACATAAAAACTACTCAAGGAAAAATGGAATGATCTTTTCAAATATATTTGTATTGTGGAACACATACTACATAACATTCAAATCAAAAATTTATTAGGCACAGTTTTCCACACACTAAATGCAGTAATAAGGGGAAAACAAATTAAGAAATTACAGACCATTGCAATCCACTACTCACTGTGTATGAAACAGACAACGAAAAAAAATTAGAGGTTCACATTAAGTGCTTTATGAGCCAAATCAATGGCATGATTAAAAGTTAAAGTTAGTGGCATCAACTACTTCATTCAATATGATCAAACTTTCACTTTATAAGCTGATTTAATTTGGTGACTTGATTAACTAGTGCTTATACGTCCATCACATTCTAAGTGAAGGTTTTATATTTTTAGTCAGTCAATTAGGCATATAACACCAATTACAGGTAAATCTGAGTAAAACTTCTCATGTTGCAAATAGCCAGTAATTATTGTGAATCACAAGGTTTAGGAAGCGTATCCACACAGCTGTGTGTGCGTTTTAATATATATATGTCTTAATAAGGTGCTAGAATAATAACATTTCTGTTAAATTTCCTGTGTGGACTTCATCACAACCATACCTTTTCATTCATTTTATTCCAATAGCAAAGTTAGCCTTATTTGTCATGCATCACCAAATACATACAGCTCTATTTTAAAAGCATATTAAACTGAAAAAAGAAAGGATAAGTGAATGAAGTCAATATATTTTGTTTGTTGTTTCAAATGTTGAAAGTTTCCTTCCTAGTACAGTTGGTAATATAATGATCTTGAAAACCATAATAAAATAAAACATACTGGATCAATTATTCTATTAGCAAGTTACACAAAACCAGGATGGACTATGAAGAATCAATGACAGTACATACAGTCAATTTACTGCAAAAAACAAATGTAGCTGTCATTATGTTACTGAGGTGTTACAAAGATATCAACATGGTGGAAAATGTTTTTATCCAAACATGAGTCAGAATTTAACTTATACCCAGAAAGTTTTTTTTTGATTAAAGAAGTTCTCATGATTGGCACACACAGATATTAATGGACTTCTGAACTTTCAGGCTTGGAGGTCATATGAGTGGGGGCATCCTGAAGTGTAGAATGAGGAGTTAAAACAGATGGGGTTGTAGATAATGGTTCCAATGTTGTAGAATGTGGAATACCCATGGGATTATAGTTGTAACCAGCAGCTCCATTCATGCTTTCTCCAAACCCACTTGGTGTTAAGTACTCCTTGTTGACACAATTGCGTAATGAATCAGGAATTCGGCCCACAATTGCTCGTCTTATTTCAGATGCAGCCATTTCCCTCAATTCTGTGGAGCTAGCATCGCTGTACCATGCTGCATGAGGTGTACATATCAAGTTTGTAACATCCTTTAAAGGACCTATAAAAAGTAGGAATACATTTTTTTTAAGATTTGGTAGGAAACTAATAGCTGTTATCCATTTTCAGCAGTGTCAAATTTTTATCTTATCTCTTAATGATGGCTACATTTTTAACACAAGTTACATTTACAGTATTTATGTACAGTTTGAAATAAGAATTCCATTTTACTGTAAATGTGGTTGTGAATTTATCATAAATTTTGAATTAAGGGGTACAATTAAAAGAGGTGACAGAACAAACATTCAAAAGTTAAAAGCAATAAATGTTGCAGTCTTAAAATTCCAAAGCTTGAAGAATATTGTTATAGTGCTATTTCCAACAACTTTCACCATAAAGTAACCTCAAATTTTTTCAAGAATACACATCTTTATTTACTTAGCTGTAAGCTTACAAGCAATTATTCTTTGAAAACTATTAGCACTTCATAAAACTACAAAGTTTCTATCACTTTGTTTAATTTCCAGCTATTCTATAATGCACTTGTTCAAATATCAGTCTTAATGTTGAAACTAGTTTTCCAAAATATCAATAAAATATAATACACACACACACACAAAAAAGTAAAATAAACAAAAAAATTACTTGATCTTGTCTGCATCATTGAGTTTTTTGTGGCTTATTTATAGTATATAAAAAGCAATTTCATTAAATGTATTTAACTGATGAGATAGATGGTAATAGAAATCCAATTATTAATACAGGCTATGCAACCAATTTCAACTTAAGTCATCGTTAATATAAGGTTAAGTACTTTAATATAAAGTTATGTTATTTTAATATATATTAACTTAAAGTGACATGATAAAGGTATAATACAGACAATTTGTTGTAAAATTATCCACAGGCACTAAGAAAGAATCTTTACCTCAAATCCAACCTATTCAACACTAATTACATTTATCATACACAAGTTGAGTACATTAAATTAAAATTTTTGGAGCCTCACCACACTTTCATAGTTTATGTCACCACATCTAGCCAAGATCTACCTGATGCTCATGTATCACAACAAAAGCTTTGTAGAAGTTTCTAGTGCAAAAGATTTCATCATAATGCTGTCATGTCCAAAGCACACCATTCCTTTCTGGTGCTCTCCACAACACATCTAGTGTATGAATACAAGTGTCTCCCAGCACCTGGTTCAACAGTCTGACTACAAAGAAATCTACAACCAAGAACTGGTTGACTTGACTGGTATGTCTTCAGATGAATAACTGTTTCATTCTAGTTTGCTTCAGGTGTGTGATGACTAAGCAGATGTGACAGATGTCATGTAAAGATAACTAGTATAGGCATGATTTTTGTCACTTTTCCAGGTAGAGATCCTTCTTGATTATGTTGCATACTGTTGCTTGAGGCATGTGGATGGTTTTTGCCACTAACCTTTGTGTTTGTAGATTCTCGCTTTCTTTACCACATCTGGGATACAACTTGTTCGAGTTATTTTTCAAAGTAGCCTGGTGTCTCAAATTGATCTATATTATTTTGTTTTTTCAATGTCATTAAGTGCAAATGGCATCCCCATCTTAGAAATCCTAAATCCCTGATCTGAACATATTTTTATGCTCTTAATATTTTTATTCAGAACAGACTGTTAGATACCCTTCCTAAAAGCAATCGAAATGCCAAACAACGTCAAAGTGTAGTTCTGATATGTTCTATTCCACTGCAACTTTATATCAACTGTTCTTGCCATGTGACTTGCTGATTTGCATATTCAAAATCGCTTTAATATAATGTACTGAACCCTCTGTACTTACCTTGCTGCTAGGATTCTTGAAAATAGTTCAAACAATCAACCCTTTCCAGATTGAATGGGTGTAAACTGATATCCATTGGTTTTTTCCCCCCTTCCTAAGAGTCAAATTATTTAACCAAGATGCATGAAATTTTGCAAAAACTTACTAAATAGTATCTAGTTTTGGCTTTAAAAATAGTAATTAAATTTATCGTTTGTTACTTTCTATGTAGAGATACTGTTTTGAAAAAAAAAACATTAAATATACTTGCTTTTGTGTTAAAGTTATTCTTTTATTGTTGACTAGTGAAAGTACCCGGCTTTGCTCCGTTTATTAGGTTGATTTATTCTAGATGACCAGAGCTCTAGATAAGATTTTAGGTCAATGAGTATTTAAAACAATCCACCTTTTTTCTCCTTAAGCTACAAATTTTTCTTACATATTATAAAGCCTTTATAATATGTAAATATTTGTACCTTAAGGAGAAAAAAGGTACAAGTTCAAATCATAACCTTGACATTGCTTTGCCACATAAAGTAGACTTCTTTCTTAAAATACTCCCCTGCAGTCACAAAACTAGTCTGTGTAGTTTGACTAGCATGCTCAAAATCTGATATGACTACTTAAGTCTTTACATCACAGCTGAATGAATATGAATAACAGAGTTTATAGGTGACTAATATATTTGCACTTCTAGTGTCTAAGTCTTCTATAGTTCTGCTTCTGCTAAATAATATACCCTGAACTGTGACTAGATTTAAAATATTCCAACACTTCCTGTGCATGATTACCAAGAACTTTAACTGTATAACTTCAAAAACTTTCTCATATTTACATGTTAAACTAATATACTGTACTTGTTCAAGAACTCCTGTGGGAGCTGAAGCACTCCTTTGGCTTCTTAGCCCTAGGTATATATATGGTTGACAAAGCCATCCCTTTCTTTTCTTTTTTTGTAACTCATAACCTGACTACTCTAACTGGATCATAATTTGATAACTGAATATTACTACCTTGAATATTCAAAAGATTGTCCAGAATTTCTACTTTCAATGAACAAGCAGCCACACATCCACAGAATGGTGGAAATGAAAGCCCCTGGAATGAATCAGCCAAACAAGAAAATTGAATCCCAATGAGGGGGGATGGAAATGGGATTGTGAGGCAATTTGGAAAGTGAATGGAATTAGAAGATCAGTCATAATTAAACAACTTTCAGTACCCATCAATCGACCACCAAAGACCTCCAAAACATGGGCAAACTGAAGGATTTTGGCCGACACCAAACCTGACCCCAGAAGGGTGGTCAAAGTAAGATAAATATGGGAAAAGGTAATCAAATTATTGAGGTCTGATCCCCACTATAGAAGAAGCGACATTAATGCTGTGAGTTCAAATAAGGGAACAATGATAATCCAAAACCTGATCTTTCACAGTATGTGGGTGTCAAGGCATACCAACCTCAACCCCTGAATGTAAATGATCCCCCAAAACTAAAATAATGAACCAAAGTCTCTGAGAAGAGCAGAGATGGGAACATAGAAAAATAGAGAAAAGGACAGAACATAATATACCTGAATAATCAAATTCACCAAATGGGAAAGAGGTCTATGCAAGTCCCCCAAAATGACATGCAACCGAGAGGCATATTCAGAAGGGGGGAAAAAGGCTATCCAAATTCAAAACTTCTATATTACTGAAACCGTGATAGGACAATCAACAGTTTATGCTCTTTGTTGCATGAAATCAACTCCTTACAGAGCCGTCACTGCAGGGGCCAAGAATCATGATTCACACCCATTGCATGTGGCTGGTGACTCCGCTGCAGCAGTTGTAGTCATGACCACCTGAAACTGCTAGTGCATAACTCACAAAAATGAAATAGCAGAGAAGATAAATAAAATAATTCATAACTTTCCACAAAAGAGAACGAAAACAATACAGAACAGTATAATTTAAAAATAGACAGTATAAAAACAGTATAAAATAGAAAATTAAGAAAGTAAAAACTTATGGATAAGTGAATCAAACCTCAAGCAAAAACTTGTATATTCAATAGGACTGCCCATTGAGAAGTGTTTAACAGCTGCAAAATTAGAGGGCGCTAGTTACAATAGGGATAATGTTGCACTCCTATTGGTGGAGGGTTGCTACATAATCATTTGCATGTTACCATGCAGAAAAGTAGGAGTATCAAGGCTAGTGGCAAGTGAAAATTTGCAACAATCTTCAGTACAAGTTGAAGAAGAAGAAGAGAAGGAAAAAAAAAAGTAAATAATAATAAATATAGTTATGAGAGTGGTGAAAATGCACATTTTCTAATATCTGCATTTAACGACCATCGCCTTGGAATTGATCAAAGGGGTATGTTTAATGATTTTAGCATGGTATTTGCTGTTATTCCCTTGGGTTGAACAAACTAAAAATTTAGGGTCCTTTTCAAAAGACTGCCTCCACACTATTATAAATAATTATAACAATTTAATTTTAATCAAAAAATCTGAAATGTTAGTTATTAACATTTAATTTTCATATCAATCACATTATTAGAAATAAAGCATACATTTTGAAGTAATTAAAATAAAAAAATTATCATTAATATTTTTCAATGAACACACATGGTTTAACACTGCATGAAGTAACCCTATACTTTGTTTATCCTAAGCTCTCTGCTCTCCCATTAGGTGATATCCTACTTGTCACAGTACTGAAGACAGTTCAAACAGTAATAAATCAATAAAAAATAAAATGTTAAAAAGTTTAGAAAGCGGAAGCTGTTAGGATATGTAGCTGTAATTGTCCATTACAATATACTCAGTCTAGAGAAAAAATCACTGCTGATTTTATTTCATATCTTCCAATTTTTTATTTCACTGTACAATGATGAATTTTCAATAGTGTAGAGGGGGAAAAAAAAAGATAAAGAATAAAATGTTATCAAATATTATTTAGATTAATTTAGGAGGTTCTAGAGGTTATGTAAATGAAATATTAAGAGTACAAGTTAAAAAAGAAATATATTTATTGTTAGCAAAAATAATTGCCATTCATTCAGACTGAGTTGGTAAAGGCTCCATGAATTCACAGACAAATCTTAAGCAAAAATACTTTATTACAAAATCTGTTTTATTTTTGTTTTTTGTTTGTGAATAACAGAATTATAGTAAACATTATTATGTTTAGCTTGATAGATATAAGGCCAGTCAATTTGACTGAGACTGTGAACAGAGACTAAAGTTGCTGTACTTGTATATAAACATTGTAAGTTGAACAAAAATACAATACTGATTTATAAATTTACTCCGTCATATTGGTTTCTACTAAACTAAAGTTTTAATCTTCTACTCACCAGCATGAATGCCATAATGTTCATTTTCTTGGACATCTAATGCAGCGGCTCGGATCCTGCCATCTTTAAGGGCTAAAGCTAAGGCATTTTCATCCACCAATCCTCCTCTAGCAGTGTTAACTAGGAAGGCACCTGAAAAATGTATCAACTTTAATATTCCAAATTTCTCTTAATATCATAGAACAAAATTACACACTTTCTTTTAAAAATTTTCCTGACTTTTCATAACTCATAGTTCTGGAAAACTACAATGACTGGAAACAATAGCTTTAAAATGGTGATTAAGTGTTAGATGCTATGAACTTCCAAGAAAAGAAAAAAATAATTTTATTAACATAAATACCCATGTATAGTGTGCACTTCCAATAATTTTGGGCTCAAATATGAGCACGAGGGACAGTATTTTTCAGTTGAAATTTCCATGAATGTTGCCTCAGACATCTTATTTTCTGAAGTAGTCATTATTTGTCACTGTCAGCTCACAAGAAGTAAAAAAAAAGACCCACAAAAAAGAGGAATAAACAAAGGTCTGAACTCCTCATATTTATCTTTCAGACTTCAAGTCATGCATGTGTAATAGATTCATTTTGTCAATCAAACAAACTTCATGGTATATATACCAATATTTGCAAAAAAGAATCAGTCAAAATATAATTGGGCAAAACTTTTTTTTTGATTTTTGAGAGCTTTTTGTGGTGGGTGATAAGATGATTTTACTATCCTACGTTACAATACATTCACAGTAACATTCAATTGTAGACTCTCTCCTATGCTTTAAGTACAGAGCATTGTTTAAAAACAGGTATACAGAAATTACAGGCGATCATAAGTTCAGCATTTGTTTGTTCATTAAATAATATGGTTAAACAGTTGGCAAAGTTATTCACTTATACACACACAATCAATTACTTATCAACACAACAATACACCACTCGCTACACAAAGGCCAATGAGCTGTTAGAATCACTCTGCACACTATACATGGGGAAATTGATTTTTCATAGTATGTGAGGCCAAAAGATATACTGTGCACTATATGTGGGTATTTACGACAGCTGTCAAAATAATCTTGGTTTTAAAATTTTCTCCGACTTTTGTTTATTGTTAAGCACAAAGCTACACAATGGGATATCTGGGATATCAAAACCCGATGTTTAGCACTATAAGCCTTCAAGCTTACCACTCTGGCTTTTAATGATTTCATTACCAAAACATTGGATTTTCCAAGAGTTTTAAGATCTTCAAAAATAATATGCTTTTCTAGATTTTTTTGATAACCATACTATTGGAAACTATATTTTCAATGTCTTAACTTGGATGTTTGCCATGGGAAGCTGATAATCACCATGATAATGTTAAAATAAAAAAGTTTATGAAAGTAGTCTTAGAATACCTAGAAAGTTGTACATTTGACATTGAAATCTAGTAATTTCAACAAATACCTGAAAGTGAAATGGAAGATAATGAGTTGGCAATTTTCATTTTGTTCAGTGATTGAGAAGTTAGTGAAATATTCAGATCTATGTTAGTTATAGTATTATCTCAGTTATTCAATTGACTAGTGTGAAATTGTACAAGTAAATTTCTATTGAAAACAAAAATGTTATTTGTGAAGTTAGGACTATAAGTACAACTGTGGACAAGTGACAGTAGCAAATGTTAAGGAAGAATTAAACCTGCTCAATGATACAACAACACTAATACTGACAGTAGTTGTGTCAATACAATTATGAAAAGTTTTTCAAAAGTAACAAAAAGAAGTTTATATCTTTAAAGCATTTCTATAATTTTGTAAACACTACATTGTAGTTTGATACATGAAATATTTGTTGGATGAAAAGTTTAAAAACCACTGCTTAACTATGGGAGTGGTCCAATGAAAATGCACATTTTTATAGTTATGGACATTACACAAGAATATAATTTCATATTTATCAATAAATTAGCTTCATGACTAAAATTTGACAACAATTACAAAATTACTATTTACTAGCTTAAAGATAAATCACCTTTAAACTAACACAAAAGAACATAAATGAGGCTTGCAAACTTAGTTCCATGCACCAAATGTCAAGGGTTTACTAATATATTTAAGACAGTGTTGGAGCTTGGGAGAGCAGATTATTAGAGGAGTTGCACAGGATATAGAGATGTTTAACAACAAGATAGAATACACAGTTTTTGTTCCCCTTAAGTTTTATGTAGTTTTTCACATTTGCATTTCAGTAAGTATCTGGGAGAAACTGAAGGTTTGTGCCATATTTTCTTTATACTTTTTTTTCATTGTTACATTAAGTTTAGAGCCCAAGTAACTCTTGAGTGTACCTCTTGTTAAAAGTTATTGTTCTCGTGCTCCCCTTAAGCATTTAATAGCATTTGTTCCTGTTAAGTGTGAATGGATTTTGAGTATAATATTCAACAGCTCCATTACCTCTTTAAACCCATAGTGTTTTGCATATTCTGTTGAGATTATTTTCATGATGTCCTAATAATTATCACAATAGCTTATAAAATTTCCAGTCTATTTATAATACGTAGATAATAACATAGGTTGGATTAGTTTTCAGCCAAACACCGGCAGTGTCTGCTTGGGTTTAAGGTGTTAACAAAACCCAAGTATGGGTTAGGATTTCACAGATTAAAGTAATGTAACATTTAATTCTACTTGGATACATTTCCAGTTTGATTTTACTCTCACTCTGCTTAACTTACAAGGGGGACCTACACAAACTGATAAAAAGCTGTTATTTTCTGCTAAAGTCTTCTTCAGCTCTTGTTATGTCATCAACATTCTCATACACACAATCACTTGCTCAAGGCTCCATTATAATTGTTGTCTGAGACGACTAAAAACTTCCTTAGACATCCAACTTAAACCTCTATATTGGCCGACGGACAACTAGCACCCTGTAACAGACCTTTACTTAAAACAGCATCACAGTCTACTGTACAATTATCCTTGCCAACATTACACGAGTAATGTTGACTCTGATCCTTGACCAAAATCATCAGTATATTTCCTAACTACAAACTCGAAACTTTGAAACCCCCACAAAAATACATTTTCGTCCATTTTTTTTCTTTAAAAAAAGATTGTACTTTGTACAAGAGAAATATTGGTACAATCCACCAAAAGGGGCTGAAAACATTTTTAAAAGTTCAATTTTGTGAGTGGCTAATAATGGTGTTTTAGTCATTAAACTTTTTATTGTGGACAAGTTGCACCTCTGTGCTTCTTTACACACGTAAATTTTGTATGGAGTTCAACTCAGCATGAATGGCTGTGTGTAGTAACATAGGACAGTGTATACAGCTCAGTTAGTTACATTACTACACAATTGTTTTTTGTAGTATTTATCTCTACTACATCACATTTATGAAATAAAATTACATACAATTGTTCATAAACTCTAAATCTTCAAATTTTATTTTTGACAGTGATTTAATTCTCTTCACTATGGGCTCGGTCACAGGGATTGATCTTATAACCAATTTGTGCTTGTTATAGTTTTCATGCTATAACTTTGAATACAGTAAGCATATCTTTATGAACTTTCGCAGATTATCAGTAAACATCACAAGGCTTTTTTATGCAAAATATCAATTTTGTTTATTAAGTTTTAAGATTTTTTAAGTAATGTTTTACTCATGCATTTTTTCTTTTCAAATGTTGACTATCCAAAATGCAAAGTAATTTTGATTTTAAGATTAAAAACACTTTTATGCATCACAAAAATTTTCAAATTTCACATGCAAAATCTTTATAACCTGCAGTTAATGATAAAACCTTTTTTTCTTTTAGAAAAACTTTATATTTTATCTGCTACTTCATTTTATCGACCTTTCAGTCGTGCCTGACTCACATAACAGAAGTTGCAATGATGTGGTGCACATGAACTCACATTATCGTATTCAAGAATATAAAACTGGCCTTTACAAAGTGACCTGTCTTGACTGTGTTCAAGTGGAAATTTTTTTTTGTAAAATACAGTCACATTTTGGTTACAGTACATTATATATGTTATTACTATTTACAAATACATTCTTAAATTTCATTTATTTTTCTTAAAACATAGAACAGTAAAAAAAAAGTATAGAAAACAATTATCTCTTCTAGTTACAAACTTTTTACTCGTTTGCTGCTTATGGTAAATTGCTACGTCTTATATCAAATTTCGCATGTGGAGGATGTAAAACAAAATAATTTTTTAGGTTTTACATATATGCATTTTGAAATAACAACAAAATTATAAATTACTATATCAGTACCAAAGTATTCCACTATAATATATCAAGCTTAGTATCTAAGCTGTATTTCGGTCTAAAAAATATAATATTTCAAGTTCACTAATGTCTAACCTTACCACTTGGAATCTACAATGAAAAAAAAAGTTTCTCATGCAAGTATTTTGCAGAGGCTGGGAAAACCACTACGGGGACATTCTGGGCTTTTCATTGGTTGTACACATATCAATAGGTAAAGTAGGTGTGCATAAGCAAGTATTTTCAAAAATGGAAGAAGTGGGTGGGGCCACCTTGGTTGATTTAATAAATATATTAGTATCTCAGAATATAGAAAAGATATGAGGTTCTTACCTTATGTTCTAGCTTGTCAATATTGGTAATTTGAGTATCTAATTTGTAAGAAAATATAGACTTTGTATTTGGACATTACAATAATCTAATTTGAACCAATGCTGCATTCAACATACCACGTGACACACGAAAATCAATATTTAGGTTTTTTCATATTTACTTTTAAATTAAGAAAGTAACTAATATATAATATAAAGATTTGAATTATAATCTACAATTTGATCCCAAACTTATTGATATACATTCATAAAATAGTAATTCAATAAAATTTTGAATGGGAATCTACAAACATGATGACATGGCCTTGTACCTGTGACCATAATAGGAAGACCCAACTCAGTAGGGTTAATGGAGAGTTCAAATGAAATTAATTAAAACTTAAATATTGTCATGAGCACCATAAACAACACAAGAAATGAGACTAGAAAGGGTTAAAGTGATTTTAAGAACTGTATATTGTGGGGTTTTTGTTTGTTTGGTTAAACTCAACTGAAAGAATACCCTATAACCTGAGGTCTTTCAAAGAGTAGACCTTTCTTAATCAGGGGCAAATCACAGATTTTCATCACATTTTTATATCTACTGATGTCCCATAAAGTCAAGTTATTGGTTTTCATTTATTGGTAATTATTAATCTTAATTTAGCCATTCCAACAGAAGAAAAAAGCAATTTGCTTACCTGGTCTCATCTGTTTAATGGTGTATTCATTAATTAGGTGATGATTGTGCTCATTTAGTGTACAATGGAGAGAGACACAATCACTTTGAAACAGCAGTTCTTGAAGTGTGTAAACTCGGTTTATGCCAAGTGCTCTGTCAGTTCCATCAGGAAGGTATGGATCATAAAAAATCACATTGAATCCAAACACTTTAGCTCTTATGGCTACAGCTGTGCCAACCCGACCTGAATGTGAAAGATATTTAAAATTATGAGCTTACACTATCCTCTTTGTTACAATGTTTCCACACAAACTATACATTAAAACAAATATGAAATGTAAGATATTTATTTCACTGCTAATCTGTATATAGGCTTTTAATCTAACAAGATTATAACTGAATATAGCTAATGTACTACATGGAATATGAACAGTTAAAATATTAGCCTACCTTATGACTAACCTTTCTAACCCGAAGAAACCTCAATCTCTATTTTTATTAATGTGGTTATATAGTTTCATGTGACAAATTGAGTATACTTATAAATTGCTCGTGCCCAAAGTATGATTGAATGATTCTCATACAGATTGTCTCCTTAACTTTTGAAAAATATTACTACATATGTACACAACTGCGTGATCAGCATTAATTGTATTAGATATAAACAAATACTACTAAGTCACTACCAAAGTATTCATTATTATACCACTTTGAGATACATGTATTCAGGGCACATTGATTAGGTTCTTTTTCACTAGTTATTTTACATGACTTGACTGTTGTAAGTTATATAAATGCATGTGTAACACTGAAGTTACTTCTTTTTTTTTTGAACAGTCTAATAGCATTCATTACAACAGTAAGAATGTTTATGAAAATAATGTTGATGAGCTATTTTAAATTCAGTCAATGACGACTACCCAGAGACAAAAATTACTAGACATAAGTGAGACAAGATAAAGAGACAGTGTGTCTTCCAAGACAAAAGTTATTATTTTCCTATACTGAAAATATATTTCTAATAGATACTTCCTTTGCTCACAGTGCTGCCCTCTATTTGCAAACATTTTTCAACATGGTTCAACCGTTTCTTTCACGTAAATCATCATGCGATAGGCCTCCACCAATAGGAGTGCCACACACCCTCCTGACGATTGTGACTCCCTCTATTTGATTCTACTAAACAATCACATCAAAATTAAGCAGAAAAGAAAGCACCAGATTTCGGTGCAGAGGAAGGGTGAGAAGTTTGGGAAGAGGTAAGTACCTGTTGGAAATGTATTTTCAGTATAGGAAAATAATAACTTTCAATATGGTACATTACCTCATCTCACAGGCACATAGGAAAAGGGACTGATGCAAGGGATAGAAAAAACTATCCTTTGAAAGTATCTGAAGAACACCTCTGAAGTGTGATCCTTGTTGGGAAAGGAACACACATAGGAGATTGTACCAGTTATACTCTGTGTCCAGTGTGGAAAAAAAGTACTGCATACACATGGAGGAATACAACCAAAAAGGGGAGAGAAAACTGGGTGGGTTGGAATCTGAAACACAGTATACTGGAATCTCAATCCTGCAGAAGAAAAAATGTAGAAGAACAAGAATATGAGGAAAGCTAAAATAAATGTGCTCCAAAGCGTAGAGTGGCTATGGAAACAGATCGTATGCAGCTGGTCAACCCCAGTTCAAAACCAAGCAGTTTCGGGAAAGGTACCTCTGAACAGTGGTAGGAGGAGGGTCCACACCATCTTCACCTCAAGTTAAGTAGAACAGAAGTATATATTGTGAAAACTGATCTACAAAATGGGCCTGTGTCCACAAATCTACAACTAATGATAAATCCAGTAACCCAACATCCAAATAACAGTAGGAAGAGATGTGCCAATGTGGCAGATCACATCAAACTGAAACCCAATCAGACTGGCACCCCACTACACAAAATCAGCCTCAGATAATGAAAACTCTCTGAGGTGGAGCACGATAGGGAGAACCAGAAACCAGGTGCAACATCAACCTCCGGGACCCACAGTTGGAGATCATGAGGCAAATTGAGTGAGGAAGGGGAAACACAATCAACACGTGTGTGGATTTATGTTGATTGATCCAGCTCTAATCCAAAACCACTCATTGGGAACTGACATCCAGATGATGGTAGGTTAAGGGATCTCAAATGAAGGGGTTAACTGCAATGTGAAAGATCTACTCCCAAGCATCATCACCCTCTGGATAGGACTGCAAGAAGGTTGGAGCACAATTGCAACCTCCAGGTCCCACCACATGGAAGTGGATTGCATCCATAAAATAAAGGCAACCTAAACTCACCCTCCAGAACCCAATCCATGGAGATGGAGTGTAATTAGTTGTAGATATGCACATCATCATCCTTTGGATAGGACCATAAAGATGTTGGAGTTCAACACTACCCTCCGAGTCCCACCGCACAGAAGTGGGTCAAATCTGTAAAATATAAGCAACCTCATCCTTTGTAAAGAACTGCACAGAAACTGAGTGCAACATCAACCTCGTGGGATCTACCACATAGAGGTGAAGCACATAATTGGAGGATCAAACATCATCTACACCTGCAGAACACCAACCCCTACTCTCAACTAAATGTAGGTGATCACATTGAGGAGGAGTCCTTCCTCCATGGTGCACTATCCCAACAGCTCAGAAGCAGCAACGACTCGCATACTCCACTAGAATATCAAAAAGGGGACAAAATGCAGTGGAGGGTCTTGAGAAATGTCAACATCAGAGCCAGTGCAACGGGTGACCACAAAAAACCCTATTTTGAAAAGCAGACCAACTCTGAGTTATTTAATCAAACTGATGGCAGAGATGGGCAGCTATCCCCTTCTGCTTTACTCATATAAGTACATGGAGGAGTATGGTCTTGAATGGGCATATTATGAAGCAACCAAATTACAAGGACACCTATGAGCAATCTTGTGGAACATCCCATCTCAACAATGTGCATTATAGGCCATGGGTATACAATTTGGCTGTACAGTGCAGATTTGAAAAATAGGAATGCTCACCACCAAGTAGGATTCTAAATGAAAAGGGACAGGCCACTGAAATGAAAAATCACACATATAAAAATGATAACTTACCCAGTCACAGCCTCATCAAAGTTTGGAGGATGGCGACAAATGGAAGACAGTACTTCAATAAGGAAGAAACAGCCACCTGATGAAGATAATAGGAGATGAATGTATGAGGTGTAGTCCTCATGCTCGACTGAAGAATTTCCTCCAATGGACACCAGATCTGATGCAACAACATCTGGAACAGATTTTGGGAAGAAGGAGACATGGAAGAATATGCCAATTGAACCTGTTAATGAGCACAAATGGTAAGGGTAAAAAAGAGAAAGGTCACAAACAGAGGACTGTTGCCAGAATGAAAAAATGGGAATGTGAACCATGGGAGGAAGCTATGCGGGCAAGGTAACAATACAGAGCATTTGTGGGACATAGACGTTTATCCAAATAAAGGTGGAATATGGATAGAAATGAAATTGGTGAAACAAAAGAATGTCCTTCATGAACTGCTGAAATTTTAGGAAGGAAAGACCAATTTGGATAAAGGAGAACACATGGGGGGAATGATACAGTGTATGAATCATTGATGACAAATATATATAATTAACGATGCCTACAGGCTAAAAGGAGTAGGAAATAAGTCTTAAGGGATAAGTGAAAAAAAGAACATGAGGAGAAAGGTTCAAATGGAGGTAGGGATAGGCAGTGAAGAGCAATACTGACATTCCAAGGAATGCAACAAAAAGGAGAGTGTAGGAGAAGAAAACACCAAATGGTACTGGAAAACATGGAAGGTGTGGTATAAGGCTGCCTAATAACCAGCTATGGAAGAGACAGAAGTCCCAAGATTGAACAGCCACATGAAGAAATCCATAAGAGGAACAGTGGGCCAAGAAGGGGGAAAAAAACCCTGACTCAAATACCAATGGCAGAAGACGTTCCATTTATGGTGATAAACCTCAATATACGAAGGTAGAATAAACCATGCTAAAAAAGAAGTGACACACCTAGACAATCCACATCTGCTTGCCAGGGACTTGATAAATGTCAGGTGTGAAGACAGAGGGTACGAAAGGCAGGATGAAGGACTGGTGATCAAGGTTGACATAATAAAGATAGAGTGAAAGGAAGGAGAGTTTGTAGCTGAAGGAATCAAGGTTGTGCAGGCCAGTAAGGACCTGACATGGAGTGGCATGGATGACCAAAATCACCATGAAAAGAAATTGGCTGGGAGGATAAACATAATGGTACCAGTTGGTCCAATCCTGGCTGAAAGCATCCACAGCTAGGGCCTGAGAAACCAAAGACCAAAAAAGAGGTAACTTGATATTCAAAAGTGTGGCAAATGCATTCAGATGATGAGTACCCTACTGATTGCAGAGCATATTACTTAGACTGTAAGAGAAGGAAATTGTGTTGATGCAACTTCAAATAATCAAGGTTGTTCAGAGTATGAAGTTTTTTAAACCACATTTGTACATGTTAGTGTTTGTTATGGTATTGTAGTCATCAGAAGGGTGTTATTCTTATCATTACAAGAATGAAGTTGGTGGATTTGACCAACCTTGAAACTGACACTACACATACTATAACTCTGAATTAACTGTATTTATCTTCACAAAATTTGACAAGTTTTTAGTAAGCAATACATGTATGTTGTAAAAAACAACAACAAAAAACAGACTTTTTAATAAAGTATTTCTATTAATGTTTTGTCTATGAACTTCTAAATCCTTTACTGAGTGAGTCTAAATGAAAGGGGAGTTTCATGTTAAGAATAAGAATACTTCTTTTCATCTATCATTTGTATAACCTCTAGAACCTCCTAAATGAATAACAAAATGTTTTTAATTAAAACTTTATATATTCTTTTCTCTACTCTAATACAAACTGCAGAGGAATCAACAATCTGCAGTGAAATGAAAAGTGGAATAATATGAAATAAAATAATACCCTTTTTACCTTTGCACTGGCTGCAGTTTTGATCAGAAAGTGCTTATCTCTTGCAACTGGTTACCTATTTTAATTTTATGGTTTTATTACTGTACGTCATACCATTGGAACAGTAATAATTGTGTAGAAAGCAATAAGTTACAGCAGGAGCCCATTAGCTGCTTCTTGCACAGCTAATATAACAACATAGTGTCATATTTTGCCACAGTGTTATTGCTAATGTAATTTAGATGTTTTATTT